TCAAAAACCTCATAAGAAAGAAAAGTCCAGAACCAGAGGGTTTGCTTCAATAGTGAATTCTACCAAACATTTAAAGATGATTTAATAGAAATCTACCTCAAACTCTTCCAAAAAAATTGAAGAGCAAGGATCACTTCCAAACTCATTTTACAAGGCCAGTATTACCCTGATACCAAAATAATGGACACTACAAGAAAAGAAAATTACCAGCCAATATCCCTGATGAACATAGATGCAACATTCCTCAAAAAAATATTAGCGAACCAAGTTCAATAGTATATTTAAAGGGTCAGACACCATGGTCAACTGGGATTTACTCCAGGGATGCACGAATGCTTCAAAATACCCAATCAATCAATGCAATGCTCCATTTAACAAAATGAAGGATAAAAATCATGATCATCTTAATAGATGCAGGAAAAGCATTACACAGAGTTTAACACCCTTTCAAGATAAAAACACAAAAAACTGATTATAAAAAGAATGTACCTCAACATAGTAAAGGCCATATATGAGACTGTCACAGCTAACATCATACTCAATGATCAAAAGCTGAAAGCTTTTCCTCTGAGATCAGGAACAAGATAAAAATGGCTACAATCACCACTTTTATTCAACATACTACTGGAAATCCTAGGCAGAGCAATCAGGCAAGAAAAGGAAATAAAAGGCACACAAATCAGAAAGGAAGAAGTAAAACCATTACTATTGGCAGATGACATGATATTATACTGGGGGTGCCAAAAAAAAAGTATACAAGCGGACACTTTGGTCAGCGTCGCTCAAGCAGTAGTTTGCGATACAGATGTTTCCGGATGCTGATGGTAAACACTATGAGCACCTCTTGTAATTGCAGAAGTCAAACGTGACTTGTATTCATCTTTTGTTATGAGTATATATTGAATATTACAATTTCAATACAGTTTTCCTTTCTTAAAATGTATATAATTTTTTTGGCACTGTCTGTATATAGAAAACCCTAAAAACTACCTTTAAAAACCTTATAATAAGGCTGGCTGAGTGGCTCATTGGTTAAGAGTTGGCTTGGGAGCTGGAGCTCTGAGCAGCAGGTCCGCTGGTTCAGGTCCCACGCTGCGCCCTCTACAGCTAAGATGGCGAACAACAGCTTGACCTGAAGCTCGGCTGCTGTGAGTCGCCGGCGACTGGTGTAGGCTGCAGTGGGGCTTTGGTGGGCTGCTGTGAGCTATCTTGAGTGGCCAGCAGCCAGCGTGAGTTGCTGTGAGCCACAGTGAACGGCCATCCAATGGCTGGCAACCTATCTGCCTCACCCGGGAAGAGTGCAATGATCACAATACCAACATGAGCCAGTGGAGTGACATCCTCCCCAACTAGACTGAAAAACAAAAGGACAGCAACTTGTCTGTTCCCCTTCCTCGATCCCCTCCCCCAATTCCCCAATAAAATCTAAAAAAAAAACCCCAAAACTTATAGTAAACAAATTCAGAGAAGTGTCAGGATACAATATTACAATATCAATATACAAAAGTCATGTGTATTCTTATACACTAACAATGAATTAACAGAAGGAGTAATTAAGAAAACAATATGTTTATAATACCATAAAATGGAATAAAATACCTAGGAATAAATTTAACTAAGGAGGTAAAAGATCTGTGCACTGAAAACTCTCCCATTATGAACGCTCTGTGAACATGGGTTTTGGACATAACCATATGTAGCACTCCCCAGTCACCATATTTAGAGAGTTTCTGCTCTGTTCATGCTGAAAACTTAACTCTTTGATGAAAAGGTATTGAAGAAGACACAAATAAATGGAAAAACAGCCTGTGTTCATGGCTTGGAAAAATTAATATTCTTAAAATGCCCATACTATTTAAAGAAATCTGTAGATTCAGTATAATCCTCATCAAATGTTCTATGGCATTTTTCACAGAAATAGAAAAAATAGTCCTGAAATTTGTGTGGAACTAAAAAAGACCCTGAATAGTCAAAGCAATCTTGAGAATGAAGAACAAAGCCGGAGTCATCACACTTCCTGAATTCAAACTATATTATCAAGCTCTAATAATCAAAACAGTATGGTGCTAGCCTCAAAACAGACACATAGATCAACAGAACAGAATACAGAGCCCAGAAATATGCAAATGTACAAATATGGTCAAATAATTTTGACAAAGAAGCCAAGAATATACAGTGGGGGAAGGATAGTGCCTTCAGTAGATAGTGATGGGAAAACTCGATATCACATGCAAAAGAATGAAACTGGACCCCTCTATTATACTATACACAAAATTCAACTCAAAATGGATTATTATGGTCTTGAACACATGACGTGAAACTGTAAAACTCCCAGAAATAAGCATAGGAGGTGTGGGGGAAGAAGAAACTGTCCTCTACTCTTCTAGATTCTTCTAGCTTGTCTAATAATTAAATTGACATGAGACAGATTAACAAGAGAAAATAACAAAGTTGTACCCCACATACATGAGAGAGTCAAAGACAGAAAGGTTAAGTGTTAAGTCACCTTGGAGCTTCAGAAGGGAGGAAGATGATTTGTACAACAGACCATAAGACAGATGTTCAGTAATTAGAAGTTTGCCCTGCTGTGTATATAAGCCATAAAAATTATTTCTGGTGATAACTCTTATTATGGGCAAGGTCCCTAATTTAAATTTTTTTAAGGGAGTGGTAAAAGTTTTTTGTGAGCCCACAGGATCTTTATCGCCTTTCAAAATAATTCACATGCCAAAGTTGCACATCTTGAGAAGGCCTGTTTTGAACCCCTTCAGGGATAAACTTCTTGACATTGGTCTTGACAATGATTTTTGGGTTTGCCATCAAAAGTTAAGGCAACAAAAGCCAATTAAATAAGTGTGATCACATCAAACTAAAAAGCTTCTGCACAGCAAAGGAAACCATCAACAAAACAAAAAGACAACCTATGGAATGGAAGAAGATATTTGCAAACCACATTTCCAATAAGAGATTAATATCCATAATGTACAAGAACTCAATGGCAAAAAAACAAAAAACAAAACAAAAATCCAATTTGGGCAAAGGACTTGAATAGACATTTTTGTATACAAGACATACAAATGGCCAACAGATACATGAAAGGAGCTCCTCATCACTAATCGTCAGAGAGATGCAAATCAAAACCACAATGAAATAGCACTTCACACTTGTTAAGATATCTGTTATCAAAAAAAAATACAGATAACAAATGCTGGCAAGAATGTGGAGAAAAGGGAACCTTGTACACTGTTGGTAAAAACGTAAACTGATATAGGCACTATAGAAGAAAACAGTGTGGATTCAGCAATTCACTTCTGGGTATATGTCCAAAGGAAATAAAATCATTATCCTAAAGAGATATTTGCACTCCATTGTTCATTGCAGCATTATTTAGAATAGCCAAAGTGTGGATACAACCTAAGTGTCCATCAACAGATAATGGGTAAAGAAGATGTGGTATTTGCGTGTGCACGTGTGTACACACACACACACACACACACACACACACTACACACATGCAAATATTCAGCCTTTAAAAAGGAAATCCTGATGGTTGGACAACATGGGCAAACCTGGGGGCCTTATGCTCACTGAAATAAGCCAGACAGAGAAAAACAAATACTGCATGGTATCACTTATATGTGGAATCAGAAACAAAAACAAATGTTGAACTCATAGAAACAAAGAATAGAAAAGTGGTTGCAAGAGGCTGAGGAGCAGGGGAAATGGAGAAAAGTTGATAAAATGATACGATCTTTCAGTTATAAAATGAATAAGGTCTAAGGATCTAATGTATAACATGGTGACTATCATTGATAACACTTTATATTATTATATGTTTGAAATTTCCTAAGAGAGTAGAACTTAAATGTTCTTTCCACACACACAAAATGTTACATATGTGAGGTGATGGATGTGTTGACTCAGTGCAAGCATTCTTTTATATGATGCATACATGTATCAAATCATCATTTTGTACACTTTAAATATCTTACAACTTTGTCAATTATACCTCAATAAAGCTGAAAAAAACCCCTGCTAAATACAGTTCTCCTAATAGGTTGTTTTATCATGTTTTTTTTTTGTTTTTTGTTTTTTGTTTTGTTTTTTTGCTTGTCTGCTATTGCTCTTAGGATATATTTAACTTCGCCTGTAAAATTGCAATACTATATTTTAGCCAAAAACTACAAAGCACTCAAAAGCCCATCCATAGTAGAACAGTTAACTTGTGGCATGTTCACATGATGGAAAATTGTACTTAATGAATAAAATACAACATATGCAGCAATATCTATGGATATTCCAAACATATGCAGCACAAAAGAAGCAAGACACAAATAAGCTTCTACTATATAATTCCATATACATGTGTGTGCATGTATATGTGTGTATGTACATATACAGTTTTGCCTGTTTTTATACTATATATTTAAAATAATAATACTAGTATTTTTATGCTAATAGGCAAAACTATATATATATATACCTACATATGTATACATACACATACACACTATATTTAGTAGGTATGTAGTATCCTATATATAGTGTAAAATAGGCAAAGCTATGTGTGTATGTGTGTGTGTGTGTGTGTGTGTGTGTGTATGTAACAAAATAGGCAAAACTATTCTGATAGCGTTACTGTTAAGGGGGCAATGTCTGGAAGGAAGAAGCATGAGGAGATTCTGGGGTACAAGTATATGTTTTGTTTCTTAGTTCGGATGCTACTCAGGTATTTTATTTGTGAGCATTTGCAAGTTGTAAAATTATGTGTACTTTTCTGTGTATTGTACTACAATAAAAAGTTTGCTTAAATTGTGTTTTAAAGTCAATTGAAATAATTCTTTTCTGATGCGGTTATGGCACAGCTTAATATTGGGTTAGATTAGGCATCATGAAAAACGAATTTGCACTCATTTTTTGCATGTAGACACCCGGACTATGAGATTGGTATCCTAGATAATGTTATCCATAGCTATAAACTTGTTCCTTTGATTTCTCAGGAGAACCTGTGCCTGTCAGGGGCTGGACCCAGAGACCTGTGGTGCCTCCTTTTCTTTTGGTTGTTCGTGGAGCATGTATTACAATGGATGTAAGTTTGCCAGAAGCAAGATACCAAGAAAATTTAAGCTGCTTGGGGATGACCCAAAAGAGGTTTGTTTACTTCCTGATGTGTCATCTCTTTATCTTTCATTGATGAGATTATATGATGAGAATTGATGAGCACAGATGAACAATATGACATGCACCACTCATCAGCAAAGAATTTCATATCAGAGATGAATCAACAAAATCTTTGCTAAACTGTAGACACATTCTAATAATTTATTAAGTTAGCATGATAATACCCGTGTTATGCCAAAGTAATAGAGAAAATCTGAGCAACATAAACTCTTCATACCTATGGACTTTTATATTTATTCCTTTTATGTTAATTCCAGAGTTTTAAACAGCTGTCATTTCAGTATTCAAACTAAACGTTGACACTTCAGTGTTAAAACTTTCATTCTTTGAACCAGAATAATAGAGAAGTTATGTTTGTGACTAACACATTCAGAAAAGAACATTTCTAGTCCCATTTTCACACCACAAGATTGGATAGTTTAAAGTTACTATAGTGAATGCATTCTAGTAACTGAAACATATTTAGATCTTAATATAAAAGTATAATTGAAATAAATGACTTCATTTTCATTGAGTTCAATTTTTTATCTTTTCTCAAGAATATGTATTTCTCAAAATATAAATCACTGGTTGGTATCAAATTTAACAATTTTGGGATAGCATCTATTTTAGAGTATTCTAACTGAATAATCAGAAAACCTCAGTATATTTAGCATTTAGATATGACCAAATTTTTAGTGACTCTGTAAACCTTACAATTGTCTTTCAAATTTTAAATGCAATTGAAATATAGTTATACTATGGATATTATAATATTGATATGTCCTTCAAAATGAAAAATTTATTAACTTTATTATTTGTGACTATAATATAATAGTAACTGGAAGTTTAATAAAGTGCAAAAGCTCTTGAAATCATGATATAATTTTTTATAGGATCATATTTTTAATAAACTATTACTTAAGTGTGCTAGATGTCCTCTTTTTGTAAGAAAAAAACATGAATATTTAATAAGCTTAATAAAGAGTAGCAATTTTGCATGCTGTCAGCCACTTTAATTTTCTACACTGGAGACCTTGTTACCACTATTTCATAAATGTTTATCACTGTAGCCAGAGTTCATGTAAAACAAATCCAGGGAAAGGTTAGTAACACCCTCCCTCACTAAGGTAGGAGAGCTCTGCTCAGAAGCCTCCTCACCTTCTACAATGTGCACAAGTACATCTCTGCCAAGTGGTTCCATCTCCCAAAATATTTAAAGAAAAATGAATGGAACAACTGAATATTATCACCTACAATTTTAAAAAGCGGATTACTTTGAAAATCTGTTCTTTGTGGGGGGAAGGGAGTAACTGAACATTTCTCTTTTCAAGTAAACTTTGCAAAATTCTTCATATATACCACATTCTGGTTCTGAAAACTTTATCCATATTTGATATGGATAAAGACCATATGGCTTCATTCTCCTAACCCTACCACCAGCACAGGATTATATTTATAAAATGCCAGATATCTGCATGCAAAGTGGAAAGTTGATTAATCTTATGAAAATACCAAAGAGCTAGATATTTAATAACACAAAATAGGTAATCTATGGCCTACACTTTCACTTAGAAACAGTCATGTTAAGATGCTTTAGTTATTTGATAAGACAGTATAGAATTATTTGGAGCTAAGATATGGGGACTGGGGTGGAAGGGAGGAGGGAACCTGATAGCTTCTCTCATATGTAGAGAGAATGGATTTAGAATTTAATACGTAGAATTATTCATTTTTTACAGGAAGAAAAACTGGAGTCTCATTTACAAAACTTGTCCACTCTTATGGCACCAACATACAAGAAACTTGCACCCGATGCATATAATAATCAGGTAAGCTTAAATAATTATTGACAATGATTGGAATTATTTACTCATTGATGACCTACCTACCTACCTACCTCCACAAATATTTTTGAAGCAAAGATTTTCCTTTATTTTTCTAACTTTTCCTCTTTCTAATTGTTGAAGCCACTGCAGTCTTGTTTCTGGTAAACAAAAATTACACCATCAAAAGAGCATATTTTTGGTCTTTTATTATGTAAATATTATGAGCTTTTAAGGCTCACAGCATCTACTAAACTTGCTTTCATACAAATAATTTTGTCTCCATAAGCAGACATTGGTGATTAATTAAAATTATGTGACCCAAGCTATAGGTTCTAAATACCTCATAACTGTTTTCATAGAAAACCTATACATATAAAGCTATGGGTATACTACTTTGTAAATGTATGCATATGTGTCCAGATATGCCACATTTTGCTAGATCTTTTTTCTTTTTCTTTTTTGGCCTTGGCTCCATGAACCAAGCAAAAACATTTTTTCCTAGTTTATGTGTGTGTTCTAGACTGTACCTATTTAGAAAGCTATGTGATTTATTCAGAAATGCTCATGAAGGAGGCAAAAGACTATAAAGTCTTTCCTGTTTCAATAATATCTACAACAAAAGCATTAAATGAAAATCTGTTATAAAGCAGACGCTGTGTTTAGCCACTGTGGACATAAAGATGAGCAATGTAGGCTTTCTGCCTTTAAGGAATTCCTTCTTTATAGGAGACACAGGTAAGTAAAATAGCAATTACAGAATAATGTGAAAACAGCTGGGATAGAGGTATGCACACATTTCTGAAGAAACAAAGTTTCTCCCTGAAGGTAGAATACAGATGTAAGGTCAGAGTGTCCTCCTAGGTCACATAAAGATCTTTGAACTTTATCCTGTAGGTAAGAAAGCTACCATTGGGTGTGTTAAGTGTGTGTTGAAGGTTGGGGAGGGTGAAGTGATTTAATTTTTAAAAAGGCCACTCAACTAGCCAAATAAATGAAATATAACTTAGATTAGTGTAACATTAAATTACAGAAGTAAGCTATTACAACCATTGGGCATAGATGTTAAGGTTCTAAATTAAAGAGATGGCAGTAGTGATAAAGAAAAGGAAGTGTGTAATTATGTGAAATATTTGAGGTAGAACTTACAGAACTTAGCGACCAGTTGGATTTGAGGATGAACAAAAGAGAATTTGAAGATCCACCAAATTTCTGGATTGGACAGGTGGTCCTATTAACTAGTATCAGGCGTCAGTGAGGAAGTGTTTGGGGGAGAGAAGTGGAAAATGATAAATCTCATTTTGGACATGCTAGATTTTACATAGGATATTTTGATGGAAAATCAAGAGAACAATCCACTGTAGATTTGGAAGGTATCAAAAATGCAGGAAGTAGTTGAAGTTAAATACATAGGAGTGAATGCCATTTCTCAAAGTGGAGATTCCAAAGAGAAGGGGCTAATGATAGTGATGGGATTCCAGAAAACAGCAACATTGCAGGGGTGAGTGGAGGAAGAGAAACCAGTGAAGAGCTAGGAGTAGGAGCAGTGGAGCAGGAGAGGTTAAAGATTTAAGGGACAGAGGGAGACAGATGGAGAAAAGCTGGAGGTGATGAGAGGATATGGAGCAGAGTACAAAGCAGAAAGGGATGTGGGGAAGTATGAAGGGTGGTAGAACATTTGGCAAACATTTACTTAGCATTGAAGACTAATGGGATTAGATTAGTTTGCATAGCAGAGACAACAGGATGGATCCCAATTAATGATTTAGCTACTCTTGTTTCCATTGTGGACTTTAACACTTTCCTTAAACCTCAACTCAGTTGTTTTTTGGTTTTTGTTTTGTTTTGTTTTTAGTGGAAGCAAATTTAATAATGATGGTCTGTTTATAAGTTGTTTTGTTTCACAGCTTAGGTTTTTAGAGATGTATGTGACTGTTTATGAGAACTATTTTAAATGCTGTTAATAATAGTGGGATTAAAACTTTCATTTTACAAACTTACCTATTTTACTCAGTATCACAGAAAAGAACAAGTGAGGCTTTGGAACTATTAAAAAATAATTCTGGGTGAGAACACAATAAATCAAGCTATAAAAATTGAGTCTATGTTGTTAGATTCCAAGTTTGGCCGTTTTCTGTTGAATGAATTGTTTCGTAGCACGAGTAATCAAATGGCTTTAACTGGGGAAAGGGAGAGAGTAATAAAGCATTAATATTCTTTTTACTTTTGTGATTGTCATTATAGACTGTCTCATACACACCTAGTTTTCTAAGTATTTATATTCTACCCTATTACATTTTCTTTTGCATATTTTATGCATTTCGTCAAACTGGAGCACTCAAAATATGAAGGTACTCAAAATTTTTAAGTTACAATAAGATGATTAGGCATAACCTGAGATGTGCTTCAATATTTATACATGAATAAATGTATAGATGTCCTAATCAATGGGCATAAAGTTTCAGTTAAACAAGATGAATAAGCTTTAGAGATATGAGCATGTATACCTATAGTCAACAATAATGTAGTGTACATTAAATCTTTTGTTAAGAGGGTGGATCTCATGTTAAGCGTTCTTGCCACAAAATAAAATTTAAATACTACATGCATTCATACATAAAAAATAGATGTAATATCTATATAAATTAAATCAATTAATGGCTGTGAATGAGTAAAGTATTTTTTATTGCATGGTAGGTACTATTGTTAATGTTCATCTATATGTCTTAGTATGGTCTAGAGATAAAACAAAACAAAACAGCCATGTTATCTTTCTGCATAGTATATGGGAAGAACTTTTGAGGTTCTGGATACTGTCAAAACCTACCATTTGATCTTTGCCTCCTCCAACTGAATATATGATCTGTATTTCTCAGATCTGAATGTGCTTCCTTGCTTTCTTCCTTGATTTCTTAAAGTCTTATTTCTAAAGTTAAGCTTCATTGAGTCTTCACAGCATTTCTTCTGTCAACTCCACGGAATTAGAACATAGGTTTTCTCAATTAAATATTCTTTCTTTATATCTACCCAGTAGACTTATATTTACTCTGTCTTTTCTATGGTTGTCTTACCATTAAACTTTAGACCTGAACTAGCAGGTTCAGATCACAAAATCGTATGCTTTCATCATATTATGTAGAAATGACATTTTAACTCCCATCCAAGTACTAACCAGACCTGACTCTGCTTAGCTTCCAAGATCAGACAAGTTGGGGTGCTTTCAGGTTTGTATGGCCGTAGACTGTAGCGACAACATTATTGACCAGTGCTATCCAAGAGAGCTTTCTATAACAATGGAAATATTCTCTGTCTACGCTGTTCAGTACAAAAGCTGCTAGCCACATGTGGTTATTGAACACTTGATATGTGGCTAGTGCAACTGGATTAATGAATTTTTATTTTAATTAATTTACATTTAAATAGACACAGGTGGCTACTGGATACCCTATTGAACAGCACAGCTTTACATTATCAGAAAGCCATGCACTTGGAGTTGTCTTCCAAACATATAGATTTTCAGTAATTCATTTCACAAACCCCTGCATGATATTACTTATGATGTGGCATAAGTCTGTCTAATGATCAACTAGATTTTCTATACATTTTTATTCAAGGAACAAATGATGCTAACTACACCACAGCATAAACTAAACAGTCACAAGCCAGACAACTAAACAGTCACAAGCCACACACCTTCACTTTCCTTTGGCCAGAGTGTTACATGTTTCATTATACAGATATGCTATGTGAACCCTGTGGTAAATGATAGTCAAGCCATCAAAAACAGTATCATATTGTGAATTCAGCTTCTAGCCATGATGAGTTAAGATGGACTGGATTTACACGTTTAAAAAAAACCACCGAAACATATGAAACAATTATTTTTATATTTAGAAGAAGAAGAAGCACAAGATCGTAATGCCAGAGAAAAGACTTAAAATAAAACCCCAAAACAAGGTAAAAATTTTAATACTTAGCATCCCATCATATATTACCAAAGATACAAAGAAACAAGAAAATGTGAGCCATAATGGGAAGGATGGGGAAGCAATCAATAGAAATAATTCCAGAAATGACGTAGATAGACTATGTAGATAAGGACATTAAAATAGCTATTGTTACATATATTACATTTGCCTAAGACAACAGAGAAAGTTATGAGCATGATAAAGAAACCTAAGAAGATATCAAAAAGACCCACATTAAACTTCTAGAGATGAAAAATAATATATGATGTCTGGATAAAAAAAATACACTAAATGGGGTCCGCAGCAGATTAATGAACTGGAATACATCGCAGTAGAAATGTTCTAATGTGAAATAAAGAGGAAAGACAAAACTGGAAAAAAAATGAATAGATCAATGACCTATTATTGATTACACTAGTTATTACATTAATGTATGTGTAATTAGACTCCCAGGAGGAGGTAGGGGACATAAAAATATTTAAAGAAATAACAGCTGAATTTTTTTCAAATTCATTTAAAACTATAAACTCACTGATTCCAGAAGCTCAGCCTCTAATTGGGGGTAGAGGGGGGGCAGAGGAGAGAGACATAAAGAAAACTACATAAAAGGTACATTAAAATCAATTTGCTTAAAGTCAATAATAAAGAGAAAAATGTGAAAAATGGAGAAAAAGAAGACATTACGTATAATGAGGAAAATGATAATCACAGGAGACTTCATGACAGAAAAATGCAAGAAAGGAGATAAAGGAGCAATATCTTTAAAGTACTGAAAGGAAATAAAAAACTGTCAACCTAGAAAACCAGTAAAAACAACTTTCAAAAATAAAGGAAAAATAAAGATTGTTTTTTCAGACAAAAGCTAAAATAATTGGGGATCACTTCATAAATTATATAGATGCCTAACAACTGTACTGCACACTTGAAACTAATATAAAATATTTAATGTCAGCTATAGCTATAACTATGTATATAACTATAACTATATACCGTATTTCCCTATGTATAAGACACACCCTTTTTTGAAAAATTTGGGGTCTAAAAACTGGGTGTCTTATACAGTGGTTGTAGATTTTTTTTTACTTTAATTTCCTGCTTTTTTCACACTTCTTTTTGTGCTCATACAACCACTGTATAAGATGCACCCAGTTTTTAGACCCCACACACACATGCGCACACACACACATACACACAGTAAAACCTTGGATTGCGAGTGCTCCGCAAGATGAGCAAACATTTCTATTAGGTTGGTGCAAAGTTATAGCTATAACTAATAAATACAACCTAATAAATACATTTTAACTTGGTAAATGAGCAATGTATTGCAATACAAATAGTTTGTTTGTGGAACAAATTATGCTCGCAAACTGAGGTATTACTGTGTGTGTGTGTGTGTGCGTATATATATATATAATCATGGGATGTAAAGTACAGCATAAGGAGTATAGTCAGTGGTATTTAATAGCTATGTATGGTATCAGATGTTTAGTAGACTTCTTGGATTATATCACTTTGCGATTGTGAGGCATGTAAATGTCTAATCATGATCTTGTTTTATACACCTGAAACTAATAAAAAAAGAAGTGAAACTGTCAAAAAAATTAAAATAAAGATATGGACACACTGGGAAAAGAAAGCTAAAATAATAATTTACCACCAGAAGACTAACACTTCAAAAATGTTAAAGGAAGCCCTCTGGTAGAAAACGATACCAGATAGAAATCTGGATTGACAAAAAGGAATAAAAAGTATAAATAGTAAATATGTGAATAAAACAATTTTTTCCTTATTTTAAAGTTTTCTTCAAAAGATAATTTGCTAATTAAAAATATATTATCCATGTAGCTTGATGTTTATAACATGTAGAAGTAGCACAGAGGCTTTGAATTTCTAAGTATAGTAGTTCCCCCACACCCTTATTTATTGGAGATTCATTCTAATATCCCCATAGGGTACCTGAAATAGTGGATAGCACTGAACCCTATATATACTGTTTTTTCCTACATACATACCTATGATAAAATTTAATTTATAAATTACACATTGTAAAAGATTAAGAATATCTAATAAAATAGAACAATTATAACTATATACTCTAATAAAAGTTACATGAATGTGGTCTCTTTCTCTCAAAATATCTTATTGCCCCATACTCACCTTTTCATTCAAAGAGAGCACTTTACACCTTCTCTTTGGCATTTCCAAATTGTCAACATCACTAGTCTTGTGTTTTGGGGTCATTATTAAGTAAAATAAGTATTACTTTAATACAAACACTGGGTACTATGACAGTTGATCTGATAGCAAGACAACTACTAATAGACTGATGGGCAGGTAGGGGAGTGCATACAGCTGGAGATGCTGGACAAAGGGATAATTTATGTCCCAAGTGAGACTGAGCAGACCAGTGTGAGATTTCATCACACTATTCAGAATGGTGTGCAATTTAAAACTTATAAATTGTTTATTTCTGGAATTTTTCATTTAATATTTTTGGACCATGGTCAACTGTGGGTAACTGAAACTGCGGAAAGTGAAACTGTGGATTAGGGAGACTATACTGTTGTAAGGTTCTTATATATGGAGTGGTATATTACGTGGATGTAGTTTGTGATAAGTTCAAGAGTACACTGTAAATATACTGTAAACCATAAAGCAAGCAGCCACTACATTAAATCCAATTAAATTAAAAATCTTTACCAGAAAGATACTTACAAAAATCTCTAAATACTGAAAACTGAGCAACATATTTCTAAATGATCTATGGAGCAAAGAATAAATTACAAGGGAAATTAGAAAGTATTTCAAACTGAATGAATATTAAGACATGACATTGAAATTTGAGGGATGCAGCTATAAAGCCTTGCTTAGAGAGACACTTATAGCATTAAACACTTACATTAGAAAAATATAAAGTCCCAAGTCAGTGCTTTATGCTTCTACCCTAAGAAAAGGAGAGCAGTTTTAGCCCTAAAAGTTAAAAGGAAGGAAAAAAACTAAAGAAAAGAACAGCAATCAATGAACTAGAATACAAAGAAGAAGAGAATAAATAAGAGAAACCAAAAGCTGGTACTTTGAGTCAATTAAATCAGAAAAAAAAAAGACGTATAAATTGCCAATATCAAGAATTAGAGATGAGACATCACTACAGATCCTACAGACATTGAAAGAATAAAGACATGTTATTAAAACTTTATGCCAACAAATGCAACAACTTAACTGAAATGGGCAAAGTTCTTAAAAAACAATTACCAAAGCTTACTAACAAAAAATCAAATACCACGAATAATCCTTTATCTATTAAGAAATTGAATTTGTAGTTAAAACTTTCCTGAAAAAAAAAAAAACTCCAAGCCCAGATAATTTCCCTTCCAAATTTGACCCATTAATTAAGGAAGAAATAATAACAATTCACTGGAAAGTCTTCTAGAAAATAGAAAAGGAGTAAATACATCCCAACTCATTTTATGAGGCTAGAAACATTCTGATACTAGAACCAGACAAAGGCATTAAAGAGAAATAAAACTACAGTCCAACATTCTTCATAAATATTGATGTGAAAGTTCTTAACAAATTTTAGCAAATTAGATTTGACAATGTTTGAAGGGAATAATACATCACTACCAAATGGAGTTTATTTTAGAAATGCTTGGTTCATTTAACATTCAAAAATCAATTAATATCATTCACCATATTAACTGACATAACAAGGAAAATATGATTATCTCAACAGATAGAGGAAAAAACATTTCACAAAATTCAACATCCATAGAAGGGAACTTTCTCAGTCTGATAAAAGGTATAGATAAAAAACCTAAAGCTAACATCATGTTTAATGGTGAGAGACTGAACACTTTACCCCTAAGATTAGGAACAAGATAAGGACCTCATTCTCACTTCTATTTAACATCTAAAAATTTTAGACAGTGAAATAGGCCAGAGAAAGAAAAAGAATACAGATTGGATAGGAAGACATAAAAGTGTGCTTATTTGCAGACAACATACTTGTCTACATAGCAAGTCCCAAAGAATCTACCAAAAAACCTCTAGAATAAATGGTTTAGCAAAGTTGAAAAACACAAAATTCAATTATATTTCTAATACTAGCAATGAACTATTAAAAACTGAAATGGAAACCAATAGCGATTAAAATAGCATAAAAAATATGAAGTCCTCAGGCATACATTTCCCAAAAATGTAGAAGAATGGTACGTTGAAAACTACAAAACATATCTGAGAGAAATTATAGAAGATCATGTTCACGGATCACAAGGACAACATTAAGATGCCAATTGTCCCCAAATTAATCAATGAATTCAATACATGACCTATCAAAATCTCACCAGGTGTCTTGAAGACATTGACAAGGTGATTCTAAAATACAGAGAGAGAAATGTGAAGGACCTAGATGGCCAAATAATTTTTTAAAATAAAAGCATAATTTGAAGATTTATACTGCCTGATTTCAAGATTTACTAAAAATCTACATTTAGTAATCAAGACAGTTGGTATTGGTGTACGTACACACACACACACACACACACACACACACACACACACACACACACTATTTTATACCAAAAATCAGAATAGAGCATCCAGAAATAGATCCAACATGGATGGTCAGTTAATTTTCAGCAAAGGTAATTCAATGGGGAAAGGATAATCTTTTTTTTTCTTTTTAAGATTTTTATTGGGGAATTGGGGGGATGGGAACAGTGTTGGGGAATTGGGGGAAGGGGAACAGACAAGTTGCTGTCGTTTTGTTCTTCAGTCTAGTTGTGGAGGATGTTGCTTCACTGGCCCAAGTTGGTACCATCATTGCGCTCTTCCCAGGTGAGGCAGATCAGTCGCCGGCTTCTGGACTCACAGCGGCTGCTGGCTGCTCATGCTGGCTGCTGGCTACACACGGTAGCCCATGGCAACCCACTGCAGCAGTGGCCGCAGCCTATGCTGTCGCCGGCAACTCACGGCATCCCAGCTCCAGGTTGAGCTGTTGTTCAGCATCTTAGCTGTGGAGGGCAGTGTCACTGGCCCCCATATGTGGGATCCGAACCGGGGCCCTCTGGCGTCTCAAGGCAGCTCTTAACCAACGCGCCAGTTGGCTGGCCCGGATAATCTTTTTATCCATTGGTATTTGAACAGTTGGAGAAGTATACAGAAAAAAATTAACCTTGACTGTTAACCTCATACTATAAATAAAAATTAACTCCAAATGGATCCATTTATATAAAATTCTAGAAACTGCAACTAATCAGTAGTGACAGAAAGCAGATCAGTAGTTGCCTGAAAACAAAGGGGAGGCATAACTTACAAAGAGTCATGAGGAAACTTTTGGGCGTGAGGGATATGTATTATAGTTTATTATGGTTTCATGTATAAATACATCAAAATTCATCAAAAGTATACTTCAAATATATTCTGCTTAATGCATGTCAGTTATGCCCCAATAACACTGTAAAATAAAAACTGCCATGTCAAGGTATTTGCTCTATTTTGTATCATTTTGTGTTTGCATATAAAATAGGCAACGTTTCTAAAAGTTCTTTTAGTCTAAATAGTGAGGCATCTTTTTGACCTGTTCAGTGCACAGGTCTTGTACTTTTTTTTGTCAAATGTATACCTAAGAATTTGAAATGACTACGTACGTCCCCACTCACACACACACTTTTGTTTTTCAGATTGAATATGAACACAGAGCACCAGAGTGCCGCCTGGGTCTGAAGGAAGGCCGTCCATTCTCAGGGGTCACTGCGTGTTTGGACTTCTGTGCTCATGCGCATAGAGACTTGCACAACATGCAGAATGGCAGCACATTGGTGAGTGGGGCCGAGGACAGGCTAGCAGCAAGTCCTATCACAGACTGGAGGGCTGGAAGTGAACATTTTTTAATTGGATTGTTTGGTTGTTTTGTAGTTGAGTGTATGAGTCCTTTATATATTTTGGATATTAGCCTTTTTTTTAATTGTATTGTTTGTTTTTTATTGTTGTTATTGAGTTGTATAAGCTCCTTATATATTTTGGATATTAGCTCCTTATCGTAGGCATTGTTTGCAAATATCTTCTCCTGTTCCGATGGTTGCCTCTTTGTTTTGTTGATGGTTTCTTTTGCTGTGCAGAAGCTTTTTAGTTTGATATAGTCCATTTATTTTAGCTTTTACTTCCCTTGCCCTTTGAGGTCAAATTCACAAAATCCTCTTTGTTTGGGGCTTTTTTTAATTTAAAAATCCTGTAAAAATGCAAAACACCATTCTTAGTTCACTGGTCATACAAAAATAGGCTGTGAGGCAGATTGGCCACAGGCCGCAGATTGCTGATTTCTGATCTAAGAGAACAAATACAAGGCTTATCACCCGCCATATCTAAAATCATCACTAATCATGCATTGAGCGCTTGCTTATTATTAGGAGGCTCTGCTAGCTTCTGGGAAGTATAGAAGAAAAAGGTGAAGCTATAGTAGGTCCTGAAGATAAGCTTCATTCCAGCAAGGGGACGGAGAGGGGGCAGAGGAAGAGGAAGGTGTTTTGAATGAATGGGAATTGGCCTCTGATGGGTCATGTGGAAAGAAGCACTAGATTAAAAATTGAATAGGGATAAATACACATGGGAAAAGGTGCCAAGTACTTGGAGACATGGATTTGGAAGACTTTTATGTGTAGGGAGTGAATAACATTTTTAATACCATCTTGTATTGAACTTATTTATAAAGGCAAGTCTGTTATAATCATGATCACATTCCTTGCAAGAATATCTTCCAATGATTTTATATTACCTTGGGTTTTAAATAACCATGGTCATATTTTCTCCACTAATCAAAAACACTAAATACAAAAGCTAGTGTTTTAAAACCAACAAGTAACATTTCATCAAAATCAATATGATTGTGGCAAATAAAAGGTAAAGAGTACCATTAAATTATCAAAGCAACGGAAGTAGCTTTTTTTTTTCCTTTTCAGAGTATCCACTTGTATGTAGTGATAGCTCAGAAAAGAAATGAGATAGAAGAGAAACAATAAGTTAGATTTAACAGTACAGAGGTGAGAAAAGGAAGATAGAAACAGTGTTAAGTTACATATTCAACATATCAACCAAATCTTCAATTTTACATTATTTAGATTTCACTTTGGTATGTTGTGGAAATTTCTGAAACACAGTGAAGGAGAGTTAGGAGTCAGATGTGAGGAAAGATTTGAAATTTCTTCATATACAATAATATGAGATGAGGCAAAAGTGATGTTACCCAAAACAGAGGGAGCCACTTGGTAGAACAAAGTTCTAGCCTCTTTCTGAAGGGCCTTCACATCTATCACATCTATTCCTCAAGAGTGAAAAGTCAGAGATTGCTTCATTTTGGTAGGACTGTTGCTTCTTCCCTTAGAGTCAGAATGTATGTGAAGAACAGTCACCACAGGCAACAATTCCTGATTTTCTCTTTCTCTTTCTCTTTCTCTTTCTCTTTCTCT